CGCGGGTTCAAGACCCGCCTGGGCAACTTGGTGAGACCTCATCTCTACGATAAATCAAAATTAGCCGGGCGTGGTAGCGTGTGCCTGTAGTTCCAGCTACTTGGAAGGCTGAGGCGGAAAGATCGCTGGAGCCCGGCAGGTTGAGGCTGCGGTGGCCAGGAGTGGCCACTGCACTCCAGTCTGGGTGACAGAGTGAGACTCCAACTCAAAAAAAAAAAAACTTTTGGCCAGGCACAGTGACCACTGCACTCCAGCCTGATTGAAAGAGTGAGACCCCAATTAAAGCAAACAAACAAAAAACTTTTACTATAGAAATTGTCAAACATATAAAAATAAAGAGAATGAATTCCACATTCCATTATCTAGTTTCAGCAGTTACCAGCTCAAGGTCAATCTGCATTGTCTCCACCCCACCTGCTCCCAGCCAAGTCCAGGAATGTTCAGAAGCAAATCCCAGACATTAGAGCAAGTCATCCATAAAGTTTTAGTACGTTTCTCCAAAAGACAAAATACTAAATATGTAACCACAAACCTACTCAGGAGGCTGGGGTGAAGGATCACTTGAGGCTAGGAATTCAGGTCCAACCTGGGCAACACAGCAAAACTCCATCTCTAAAAAAAGCAAAAAAATTAGCCAGGCATGGGGGTGCATGCCTGTGCATGCCTCCTAGCAACCCAGGAGGTTAAGGCAGGAGGATGTCTTGAACCCAGGAGGTCAAGACTACAGCGATCAGCCGGGCTCGGTGGCTCAGCCTGTAATCCCGCACCTTTGGGAGGCTGAGATGAGTGGATTGTCTGAGCCCACGGGTTCGAGACCCGCCTGGGCAACTTGGTGAGACCTCATCTCTACAATAAGTCAAAAATTAGCCAGGCGTGGTAGCGTGCCCCGTAATTCTGGCTACTTGGAAGGCTGAGGCGGAAGGATCGCTAGAGCCCAGCAGGTCGAGGCTGCAGTAGCCAGGAGCGGCCACTGCACTCCAGTCTGGGAGACAGAGTGAGACTCCAACTCAAAAAATAAATAAATAAATACATAAATAAATACATAAATAAGTAAATGGGCTGGGCACGATGGCTCATGCCTATAATCCCAGCACTTTGAGAGGTCAAAGTGAGAGGACTGCCTGAGCCCACAGGTTTGAGACCAGCCTGGACAACTTGGCAAGACCTCATCTCTACAGTAAACCAAAAAATTAGCTGGGCATAGTGGCACGTGCCTATAATTCCAGCTACTTGGAAGGCTGAGGAGGAAGAATCGCCTGAGCCCAACAGGTCCAGGTTGCAGTGGTCATGAGAGTGCCACTGCACTCCAACCTGTGCGACAGAGTGAGACTCAAAAATATAGAGAGAGGCTGGGCTCGGTGGCTCAACCTGTAATCCCAGCACTTTGGGAGCCCACGGGTTTGTGTCCAGCTGGGCAACTTAGCGAGAGTTTGTCTCTACAATATATAAAAAATGAGCCCAGCAGGCTGAGGCTGTGGTGACTGTGAGCATGCCACTGCACTCCAGCCTGAGTGATGGAGTGAGACTCCAACTCAAAAAATAGAGAGATAGATACATAGATAGATATATATAGGTATATAGATATATAATATATTAAAAATAATAAAACTATAACAAATAAACATAACCACGATACCATATTCCTCCTCAAAATTTTAACAATATCCATTGTTCTAATTTTCCCAGTTGTCTAATTTTGTTTCCACTTGGTAGGTTAAAATTCAGCTCCAAACAAGATCCACATATTGCACTTGCTCTCTCTTTTTTTTTTTTTGAGTCTGGAGTCTCACTCTGTCACCCAGGCTGGAGTGCAGTGGCATGCTCACAGCCACCACAGCCTCAACCTGCTGGGCTCAACAAGCCTTCTGCCTCAGTCTTCTAAGTAGTAGCCCAAACCACAGGCAGGCACCACCATGCCTGACTAATTTTATTTATTGTAGATATGAGGTCTCGCCACATTGCCCAGGCTGGTCTCGAATCCCTGGGCTCAGGCAATCCTCTGGCCTCAGCCTTCCAGAGTGCTGGGATTACAGGCATGAGCCACAGTGCCCGGCTCCCTTTCTTTTTTCATAAAAGGTATTTGTTGAGGAAACCAGGGTGCTTGGAAGACTGAGCTTTGAGGAATGTAGGAGAGCCAAGTGTCACTGTGGGAGAGAAGGATAGAGGATGGCCAGGTCTTTGGGTCATCCCTGTGTGGGAAAAAAGGCAGGATGTGGAGGTCCGACCCCCCACTGGGGAGAAGAGGTGAGCGCTGCTAAAGGGTGGAGTCTGTCCTTGTGCATCCCTGAAACCCCTGTCCCTCAATAGCTGGAACTGAGGGGAGGTGGAAAGATGGCCGGAGCTGGCAGCAGGGCAGATCTGGCTGGTGAGGGGTCTGGCTGCCCACATCAGGCTGGAGGAAGGGCAGGGCCTGAAGTGGGCCTGGAGGGAACAGGATGTCTGTGTTGGGGAGGGAGAGGACAGTGCCAGTTCCTGGCCGCTCCTCCTCCCTGCCGGGCTGAGTCCCAGGAGCCCCTCCCTGTCCTCCCAGCTACAATCCACACTGGGACCGGCCATAAGCTCCCTTCACGATGCCGGTGATCAGTGGTCCAGACCCCTCGCTCTGCCTTCTCCTCCTGCTTCTGGCCCCCCACATCCCTGAGGCGGGGTGTCCTCCTCGACACAGGTTTGAGTACAAGCTCAGCTTCAAAGGCCCAAAGCTGGCATCGCCGGTGGCTGGAATACCCTTCTGGAGCCATCACGGAGGCAAGTGGCAGGGGTGGGAGCCAAACATGCCAGGGGCCCCTCTGGGTGTGTGACCGGGTGGGCAGTGGGTCTGCCAGGACGGGGCAGGGCCTGGAGCAGACAGTGCCAGGGGCCCCAGGACCCCTCCAAGGCTTGTCTCCTGCTCCACTCCACCTGGCTCAGTTTCTCCTCTGTCTCTCTGCCTCTCCTGGGACCCCTCCCCTTCCTCTGCCCCTTGGACCTGTGAACACACACACACTGCTCACAGGTGAAGTCCCAGCCACACAGAAACAGGGTGACATGGACCAGTGCAAATCTCCCCTCTCCTGGCTCCATGCTATTGGGTTTGAAGTTGTCCATGACAATTGATGGACTTCTTGGAGGGGGCATCCTCATGTCCAGCTGGGTGGGCACTACCTTCCCTGTATGTTAGGTCTACCCACCTCAGAGTCAGGCCTCCCATCAAGCAAAGCAAAGAAAGAAAGTAGATCAGCTGTGTATTTCAGTCCATGAAATGTCAGTTCTGAGAAATGGCATGATTCTTGACTGAGGCCAGGACAAAATACCCCTGTAGGATGGCAGCCCCTGTCAGCAGGGTCTTGTTCCCAGTACCCCTTCACAGAGGCATAGGAGAGGGCTGTTTGTCACAGCACCAAGCTGGGCCCTGCCCTGGGGCCAGGGTGACTAGGCCTGTACAACACTCACTACTTTGGGCCTTGTTTAGTCTGGGGTATCACAAATCACGCAGGGGAGCAGAGGCGCATTCTCCAAGATCACCCAGTGATGTGTTCATTGTCCATAACTCTTTTTTTTTTGAGTCAGTGTCTCACTTCTGTTGTCCAGGCTGGAGTGCAGTGGCATACTCACGGCCACTACAGCCTCGACCTGCTAGGGTCTGGTGATCCTTCCACCTTAACCTTCCAAGTAGCTGGAACTTTAGGCATGCACCACCATGCCCAGCTAATTTTTCGACTTACTGTAGAGATGAGGTCTCACTAAGTTGCCCAGGCTGGTCTCAAACACGTGGGTTCAGGCAATCCTCTCACCTCAGCTTCCCAAAGTGCTGGGATTATAGGCATGAGCCACCACATCCAGCCCATTCATCCTTTTACCAGACTCCAGAAGCACAGGTGGAGTCAGGCCCAAGGAGGAACCCATGTCTAGGGAGAGATGCCACAAGCAGTTGCAGCAGGCCGGAGGCACAAGTGTGGTAGGCACTGACAGTGCTTGCCTCTTGCAAGTCGCTTCAGGGGCAGTGGCAGCTTCCAAGGGCCCCAGACTTCTGGCCTTGCAGTCTCTGGGCCTCCCTGCCCCTTCCCCCACTTCCCTGCCTGGTGTTTGCAGGGTAAATAGCCTGGATTAGCAGCCTCCGGAAAGTTCTGGCAGGGTCTCCTGGCCCTATGCCAGGTTCCAGGTTGGCAAGCTGGAGGAGTGGAAGCCAACTGGAGGGCCTTTGATTTCCCTTCCCCCAGTTCCTGCCAGGTCTTCCTCAGTTTCTCTCCCCGTTCCTCTCTCCTATCACACAGGGCTCCTTCCTCCCCACCTCCCCCGACCAGTGATGATTGTCACACACACTCCATCCTGCGTCTTCCTCACTGTCCTGTGGGCCAGTTTCCAGCCCTGCACCTTTGCTTTCATTCTTTCCTCACCTTGGGATGCCCCGAGGTCCTTTCCACCAGGAAGCCCGTCCTCATTTGACCACAACCCGGAGTCCTGAACCTTCCCGTGGTTTCTTTCTCCTAAAGTGCTCTCCTGTGTTCTGTGGTCCCAGGTACTTCTTTTCCCTCACAAGCCTCAGCTTCCTCACCTGAGGAATCGGAAGGGTTAGACACAATCTCTCTCGTGATAAAGCTTGCACTTTGGAGTCAGATGGAGCTGAATCCCACCCCACTCAGGTTCTTCAACTGTTTTATAAAAACAGACTACGTAGACTGTGGCGAGGCTTCACTGAGGCGGCAGGCAGTGCTGGCATTCATTGGCCTTCCCTGCAGAGGACCCTCCAGCTGTGCAGGGCTCTGACTCCCACTTCCCCATCCATTCCTGCGTCTGACCAGCCAGCCTGTTATCTTTTAATTTTTAAAAATTATATGAGCCGGGCTTGGTGGCTCAGCCTGTAATCCCGTGCCTTTGGGAGGCTGAGGTGAGTGGATTGCCTGAGCCCGCGGGTTCGAGACCCGCCTGGGCAACTTGGCGAGACCTCATCTCTACAATAAATCAAAAAATTATTAGCCGGGCGTGGTAGCACGCACCTGTAGTTCCAGCTACTTGGAAGGCTGAGGCGGAAGGATCGCCGGAGCCCAGCAAGCAGGTCGAGGCTGCGGTGGCCGGGAGCGGCCACTGCACTCCAGTCTGGGCGACAGAGTGAGACTCCAACTCAAAAAAATAAAAAATAAAATAAAGTAAAAATTATATGGGCCAGGCGCAGTGGCTTATGCCTATAATCCCAGCACTTTGGGAGGCCAAGGTGAGAGGACTGCCTGAGCCCATAGGTTCTAGACCAGTCTGGGCAACTTGGCGAGAACTCATCTCTACCATAAATGAAGAAAAATTAGCCGGGTGTGGTGGCGTGTGCCTGTCGTTCCAGCTACTTGGAAGGTTGAGATGGAAGGATTGTCTGAGCCCAGCAGATTGAGGCTGTGGTAGCTGTGAGCGAGCCACTGTACCCCAGTCTGGGTGACAGAGTGAGACTCCTACACACACACACACACACACACACACACACACACACACACACACACAAATTATATGATTTTTAGAGACAGGGTCTTGCTCTGTTGCCTAGGCTGGAGTACAATGGTGCAATCATAGCTCACTGCAGCCTCGAACTCCTGGGTTCAAACCATCCCCTTGCCTTGGCCTCCCAAAGCGCTGGGATTATAGGTGTGAGCCACCACACCTGGCCCAGCCCGTTAATGGCCTTGGGGCTGTCTCCTTCTTCCTCCTGGAGCCCAGGCCAGGCCAGTGAGAGAGAGCCATGGGGTGCAGGGGTGGAGTGACACAGCTGGGGTCCTGAGCCTCCCCGGTCTGCAGACGCCATCCTGGGCCTGGAGGAAGTGCGCCTGGCGCCATCCCTGAGGAACCGGAGTGGTGCTGTGTGGAGTAAGGCGCCAGTTCTCTTCTCTGCCTGGGAGGTGGTGGTGCAGATGCGGGTGACCGGGCCAGGGCACCGGGGAGCCCAGGGCATGGTGAGCAGCCCCTCCCAGACCTGATGGGGGATGGGTCAGGGAGGCAGGTGGTGACCCCTGGGGTCCCAGTACCCTGCAGGGATCCCTGAGCTGAGGGGCTGGGGACCTGCAGGCTGTGTGGTACACCCAGGACAGGGGCCGAGTGGGCCCTGCCCTGGGGGGGCCGGCCTCGTGGGACGGCATTGGGATCTTCTTGGACTCCTCAGCCAAGGACACCCAGGTGAGTACTGGCCTCCTGTCCCCCCATGCCCTCAACCTCTCTCCTGTGCCCACGGCTCACACCGATTGTCACCTCTCCCACAGGACAGCCCTGCCATCCGCGTGTTGGCCAGTGATGGGCACATCCCCAACGTGCAGCTTGGGTAAGGGCCTGTCTGGGCTAACCTCAATCCCATTCCTGCTCTGTGGCAGGCTGGGCAGGTACCCACACCACCCACCTGTGCCCCGACCCAGCCTCTGGTAGGGACCCGCCCCTCCTGATGGGGCCATCCTTGCCACCTCTCCCACACGGAGCTCATAGCTGGCTGCCTGTGACTCAGTTCACCCAACCCGACAGCCCCTGGCGAAATGACACAGGCTGGGCTCTGGGACAGGTATCTTCCCTCCCGTGACCTAACTCCCAACACCCTCGATAATTGGGGATATTAGTCCCATTAACAAGTAAGGACGCTGGGGCCCAGAGAGGTGAAATGACCTGCCCGAGGTCACACAGCTGTGTGCCCAGCTGAAACTTGAGCCCAGACTTGCCTGAGGAGGATCCATGCCCATCCCTGCACTAGCTGCCCCCTCCCCTTCCCTGGATGACATGACTTCTGTCCCTCCCCAATTGGCTGCCACTCAGTAGCTGGGCCGGTTTGCCAGTGTCTCTCAGTGTATTTTCTCGGGCTTGTAACAATTAGGACAATTGCCAGCGCTTGGGAGCTGAGCTCACTGCACCCAGGCCAGCACCAGCCCTGACACCACTGTCCTAGTAACCCTTATAATGCTGCTATGAGGTGGCTGCAATTACCATCTTCATCTTAAAGGTGGGAACACAGAAGTTTGAAAAGATGCAATCATCTGCCCGAGGCCACACGGCCCAGAGTGCAAACCCAGGCAGCCACCCAGCGCTGGCCCCACTGGCAGGTGCTCCAGTGGGAGCCGCCCGCTGGGTCCCAGTGTCTGTGCCTGTGGGCCCAGAGACACTCAGGGCTCACACTCTTCTCCTAACACCCAGAGCCTGCAGCGCCACCCCATGGCGGAAGTGGGCTGTCACACTGTCCCTGGCCACCAGGACGTGCCCTGTAGTCTGTCCTGAGTATGTGCTGCTCCTGGCTGAGGTTTGGCACCAGGGAGGGAAAGAGAAGGCTTGGGTACCCAGAGGCACAGGGGGGCATGGTGTAAGGGAGAAAGGATGATAGGATGAGAAGGAAGGGAAGCAGGAGGCCCCTGCCTCTTCTGTAAACTCCAAGTCCCAACACTCTACCAGGCAGGACTTGCTTCTCTCTTCTGGTAAGGGAGTAGGCTACAGCAAGAGAGACCCAAGCTAGACAACAGGGATAAATCCCATAAAGCTCAGCCAGTGAGGAGGGGGTGCAACCGCAGGCCTGGGCAGGGCAGCTTCTGAACTGCCCTCGTTGGCCAGACCTGGAGTCCTGGGTGGCCCAGCTGGATACCAAGTGAACCCACAGGGACGGAGCCAGCCAGGTGCTGGGTTTCTGTCGTCGGGACTTCCGGAATCGGCCATACCCCTTCAGAGTGCGGATCACCTACTGGGGGCAGAGACTTCGTGTGAGTCGCCTCTCTTGCTCCTGTGGGGCCTGCGGGTAGGAGTGCAGAGGCCAAGGCTCGGAGCCACAGGGCTGCTGCATGAGAGCCCATGGCCCTAGCAGACTCGTGCCTGGGACATCACGTGGGGTCCCTGGCACATAGGAGCCCACATGTGCCCCTACACAGATCCTGACACTCACCCCGAGACACGCATGTAAGGGCCACATGAGACCAGGAGGGCAACCAGGCCATTCCCATACCAAGCCCCAGGGCCGGCTGCCCTCCAAGCCGGGGAGCCCATGAGTCACAGACGGGGCTGATTCCCCGCTGTGGGGGTCGTGCCCTCTATGCCCCTCAGGTGTCTCTGAACAGTGGCCTCACTCCCGGCGATCCAGATGAGGTCTGCGTGGATGTGGGACCACTGCCTTTGACCCCTGGAGGTTTCTTTGGTGTCTCAGCAGCCACTGGCACCCTGGCAGGTAAGAGTCTCACTAGGCAGGTCAGAATGGCAGGCAGGGGTGGGGGGCGGGGAACTGATGAGTCAGCCTGAGTGTGTATACCTTCTCAAGAGCACTGGGCTTGGTGTCAGCCATGTCCTCACCACATCACCTGGGCAGGTCATGAGTCCTCCCTGGACCTCCATTACCAGCGGGAGGAGTCACATCGGCCTCGAAACTCTCAAATGGGCTAAAACAAGAAGGTTTTCTTCCAGTATTAGCCCCATAAGTGCCCCTAGCTGGGAGCTGTGGGGCAGGGGGAAGAGGGACAGCTAGGAGGAACACTTAGAGAAATGGAGCAAGCTGGGCTCGGTGACTCAGCCTGTAATCCCGCGCTTTGGGAGGCTGAGGTGAGTGGATTGCCTGAGCCTGCGGGTTCGAGACCCGCCTGAGCAATTCGACGAGATCTCATCTCTACAATAAATCAAAAAATCAGCCAGGCATGGTAGCACATGCCTGTAATTCCGGCTACTCGGAAGGCTAAGGCGGAAGGATCGCCGGAGCCCAGCAGGTCGAGGCTGCGGTGGCCAGAAGCGGGCACTGCACTCCAGTCTGGGCGACAGAGTGAGACTCCAACTCAAAAAAAAAAAAGAGAGAAAG